GCCACTTCATAAATTGTAAGAATGAAAACAGTAATTTTTTAAAGTAAAGATGTTACTAAAATATAAGATAAGTAAAATTATAAAACACAAAATAGGCAGGTCAAAAAGCTAAATGAAAACAGACAAGATAAAAGATATTAAAGTAAGTCTTATTAAAAAAAAAAAAAGAAAAAGATGACATAAGAAATGTAGGCCCACAATTTTCAAATGAAGTAACCTGACAATATAAGATGGAACTGAGAGATCAAAAAGATTAAACAACTTAATGAGTTTTAAGAATGCAAGCAACAGACCTAGATATTGAAAATGTAAAATCTCAGTGGATTAAAATAAGTCAGTACAGCACAAAATCCTCTCGCAGGAGGAACACAATTGCCATAAAGGGAGGCAGGAAGCTTTGGCCTGCCCTTCCTGTTTGGTACCTGCAATATTTCCTAGGTGACCAGAGAAGGGAGATTTGATCAAGGAGGGATGCGGCTGCTGCTTCGTCCCTTCCCGCCAGTAGAGGGCAGCCGTATAGAGAGGTGAAGCCTGGTTGAGCTGCTTCAGGGAAAGGGGATCTGTTTGCTGATCTCAAAGGATCCTGAAGTGTGGTAGCAAAGAGAACCTAATGAGGTGTTTATTCTTTAAGTCACATCTGAATACTCTGCTTTCACTTTCATTCCCTATATCTTACTCAGGATAGTACTTGGGAATTTATTTGTGTGTGAGGTTTTTTTTCCTATTAATTTAACAACTGTAACATTTTCTTCTAAGCTTGTGGCTTTATTTAGGCTTCATTTAGTTCTTCTATTTACCTGTCTCTCCGTTTTCTTGCTCTTTTTTCATATCCTAAAGCCTGATTGAGATCTGGAAAGTTCTCTGAATACACACACACACTCACACACTTTCCTCTTTATCCATTGCATACAACCCAAATCCACCCACTCATAGGTGAATATATATAGGTGATCCATACCCCCACACAAACACACACACACACACACACACACACACACACACACACACACACACACTGCCCATTATCTTCATGCCTTCTCTCTCCTCTCTAGACTTTCCCATCCATCATTGCAAAGCTCCCATATCCACCACAGATACAGATTGGAATATTGTAAATTTATTGTTTCTTTCCCAGGGAGAATTTTTAAAAAGCTTTCCCCCTGTGATCTATAAATAAGTAATAACTCTATTAAAAATGTGATGAGTAGTGTGACTTCATGCGGAGGTTTTTACGGCCAGTGTTTCGGTGCATTTACTTTCCTGACCACCCCGGGTCAGGCAGGTAGGTAGCTCATTCCTCTGGCACTGTAAGTTCTCTCTTGCAACATTTTGCAAAGTGTGTTCCTTAGGTTCTCCCTGATAGTGTGTGCACCTTAGTTTTATAAATCTATTTATTGTTTAAAATATATTTTTATTGACTTCAGAGAGGAAGGGAAAGGGAGGGAGAGATAGAAACAATAATGATTAGATATAATCACTGATCAGCTGCCTCCTGCACACCTCACCCTGGGAATCGAGTCTGTAACCCGGGTATGTGCCCTGCTTGGGAATCAAACCGTGGCCTCCTGGTTCCATGGGTCAACCACTGAGCCACACTGGCCTGGCAGTGCATACATTAAAGTGCATGCATCTTTACACTCAAGTAGGTCTGAGGAATGCTACAGTAAAACTGACTTCTGTAATGCAGAGCTCCCCAAAGAATTTCATGTGATCGTTTACTACAGGCCATGCAAGATCTCCCATGCATATTTGGCTACAAAAACTTATTTTTTCATCAAAACATTACATCTCTAAGCTCAGTGTTCCATGGAAAATAATTTAGGAAATAATGTTCTGATAGCGGTAGTACATTTACCTGCGTTCTTCAGAGAAATTGTTTTACAGTTGCCCTTATTGGAGAGTTCAAATTCACCTCAGTATATTTTCATCAGGTTGGCACTTCTTTATATTTTTTAGTCCAACAGTATAATAAACAGCCAATATGTGGTTCTTTGGGGTCTCCTAAAACCTCGAAACAGAACAAATTTTATTATGCTTTATAGGAATATGACTTTCTGTAAGAGAGTTCTTTGGAAATCAGTAACCTTTATAAAATAAAGTAGTTTAATTATGTTTTGATCAAGTGTATCTTTTAATTTTTAGGCAAATAGAAGGGAGACAGGAGGGAGGGGGGAGGAAGGGAGAGGAGAGAGAAGAGAAACATTTATGTGAGGCTGGGACTGGGGAACATGCAATGGCAGTACATGCCCCTGAGAATGGAACCCGTGATCCCTTGGTCCATAGGCCAATGCTCCAACCACTGAGCCAAACCAGGCAGGGCCAAATGTATGCATATCAATGGTAATAAAAATACGAATTCAGGACTGAAAAGCAGTAGAAATGAAGACAGAGAGAGTGAGAATAAGACAGAATTCTAAAGGTTCTTTCTGGGAAGAGTCCTTGCAGATGCAGCTCTCATAGAGACAACAGGTGTAGAGGAAGCTCTGCTCCCTGCAGCGTTCCTTTGGGAATCTCAGCTACAGTGATTTGCCCTGCAGACATCCACTGTCCGGAGGCCTGCCATGATTTGTTGAGAATATTTGGAAGTTTACTAGGGCATAAGAGACAGAGCTTGAGTAACAGTATTCTTTTTTAAAAAAAAACTATATTTTATTGATTTTTCACAGAGTGGAAGAGAGAGGGATAGAATAGAGAGTTAGAAACATTGATGAGAGAGAATCATGGATCAGCTGCCTCTTGCACACCCCCTACTGGGGATGTGCCCGCAATCAAGGTACATGCCCTTGCCTGGAATCGAACCCGGGACCTTTCAGTCCGCAGGCCGACGCTCTATCCACTGAGCCAAACCGGTCCCCCTGAGTAACAGTATTCTGAGTTCAGTAAAATTCACCCTCTCTGTAAGGTTTAAGAGAGTGCAAATATGAAGATGGTCTTCATAACAACCCCTGCCTCAGAACCCTCCTGTCTGCATGGCCTTGTGCATTGGCCTTCTAACCTGAGGAGGGAACTTTGACCAATAAGTCATTTCCTAGGAAATCCAAGATTTCAGTGACCTCAGGCCTGGGTAGTGTTCAGTGGGTGCTTATTTTTTTTCTATGTTGTCACCTGCCTGAACTCATCCCTCAGGAGTTCAGAGTCTTTGTGCTGAAAAGAGCTCTCTCCCATTATGGAGATTTACATTTTACCAGGAATTAGATGCCTCAAGCACAACTTCCAGTAAACACTTTAGGGTGCTCTGGAGTGGTAAGGAGAACCTTCCCAGAGCACAGAGCCCAGGCTATTCTGTAATGACTAAGCAGTTATTTTATATTGCATTTAGAATAAAGCACACAAGCATCCTTTACTCTCTCCACTCTCTTTTTAGCACTAGGAGCTTGAGTAAGTGCAAATAGTAGGTACTGAGCAAAGGTATGACTGGCAACTCTCTTTTTCTTTTCTATTATATTAGAGGCCCTATGCATGAGATTTGTGCATGAGTAGGTCCCTAGGCTTGGACACCAATCGGGCCAATCTATGGGGTGACTGGTGGGGTGATTGGGGGGTCGGAGGGGCTCGCTGGGGACAGCTCCTGCATTGAGTGTCTGCGCCCTGGTGGTCATTACACGTCATAGCAAAAGGTTGTTCCACCGATTGTTCCGCTGTTCAGTCAATTTGCATATTAGGCTTTTATTACTGGTATATAGGATTTGTAGATAAGGTAAAGGGATAATGCACGTCAAAGGAAACAGTAATGGAATGGCAATTGCACATAGATCCTAGGGCAGGAAGACTCTTTTCTCCATCACCACCATGTTGGTCCTCAGACCTCTGAGTGTGCTCATCCAGTGAAGATGAGCATATTCTTCCTGCAGCAGGCCATTACACTTTGCTTAACCTTGTTCCTTTTTTTGAGCAGTCAAGGGGTCCCTGGTGGAAACCAGCCATTGGACAAAGTGAGCCTCTGTTTCATGCCATTATGTATCATAAACTTCCTTAGTCTCTCTATTCTTTGATCGGCAGAGAGTGATATTCAGGTTTTCCTACTATCCCCCTGGCTGTGTTTTCTATTTATTTGGTTCTTCTCCTTTGGCATACCCTTGGAAATTGGTACTAATTGGGCCTTTTTGGGCCTGCTACTATTGTTCTATTTGCTTTATTAGTAAGCCATTTGCTACCTGTGTCCAAATCTCCTGGGCAATTCTCAGATCCTTATTCAGACTAATGCATCTCCTGAATTCTGGATTCATATTTCTGTCCACTTCTGGATATCTCTATCTACACATTTCTAGACTCATCAAGGGCAAAGCTAAGCTTAAATCCTCTATGACACCTTCCTTTAAGGTAACATCTCTATTTCTCCCTTTATCTAAGCTCCTTCAGAACATGTTAGTATCTACGGCAGAGCTCTGTCAGTTAACTGTGACATCACACACACACATGCACGCACACAGATCCTTTTGTTGAGCACTAGTTTTTTTTGTGTGTGTGTGTTTTTATTGTACAAAAGATATTAGTTTCTAGTGGAACACACCCTGTACTGAATGTGCCTATTGTGTGTTATTTGCCCAGGTTTTCAAAGGCATCTGCCACAGGGCACTCCACTTCTCAGAAGGCGGATGTGATGTGTGCAAGCAGTCACCAGATGCATCCCAACTTGTTAGTTACATATCATGTTCTTGCTCCAGGGCTCTCAAATCTCCCCCATCCCCCAAGAGCTGCATGAAATGGCCTTTCCTTGAAGGCTACACATTTTTAAAAAATGCCAAGCCACTGTCACCATCTCATTTGAAAATGTCAGTTGAGATAGCCTTTGCCAAGAACACAATGTTTCTCCCCGGGGATTAGATTTAGAAAGCTGCTACTTTGTCAAGGCCACCTGCGGGGTTTGTCTGAGGGACTGGCTTCTTCTCCACGGAGAGTCCTGGCCTGGCCTCACATACTTCTGGTGTAGAAAACAAGGGGGCAGAGGCGGGCTCTCTCCTTCTGCTGATTTTTTTTTTCTTTTACTGTGCTGCTTTCAGAATAAGATTATCCTGGACCCCATGACGTTCAGCGAGGCCCGGTTCCGGCCGTCCCTGGAGGAGAGGCTGGAGAGCATCATCAGCGGGGCCGCGCTCATGGCCGACTCCTCCTGCACCCGGGACGACAGGCGCGAGAGGATCGTGGCCGAGTGCAACGCGGTGCGCCAGGCGCTCCAGGACCTGCTCAGCGAGTACATGAACAACGTAAGTCCTGGCCGCCCGCGCTCACGTCGCGGGGGGCTTCGGTATGCAATCTGATGGCACTTGGGAAGCATGCACAGCGTGAAAAGAGGACATGAGTTCCCCAAAGATAGTCCGGGGAGAACAGAGAACGGCTCTGGGGGCATCTGAGGGTCCTCTCAGGGTGCATTTCGGTATGGAAGCGATTAGAGGAGAGGAAAATCATTTTAGGGAAACTCTGGCTTTTTCCTTAAGTGATCTCTGGGCTCCTACAATGGCTGGCCTTTGATGGAGGTCAAGTTTCCATTGATGAAAGCAGATGGTGGATGGAAATAACCAGAGACCCTGATGTCCTCTTTTACAAAAGCACGGTCAAAGCTAAGGACAGCCACCGATGCTAATCTCCCATCCTAAGAGGCATTAATAGGTGTCAGAGGGGTTTAAATGTGTCTGTGCGTTTGGGCACGGTGGAAATGTCCTAACCGCAGTGAAACTCGCAGGAGAGCTATTGATTCGTCGTGCGATTAGAAATTCTTATGAGAGGGAGGCTTTGAGTTTTCAAGCGGTGACAATAGTGTCTGCTTGTATTGCAGCTCAGATAAAAGCTGTCCTCTCCTCCAGTTACAAAGTGTGTCCGTTCCTGTACAATGAAAACTATAAAAAGGAGATGCAATCCATATTCTTTGCTCTGAAAGCCACTGAATCATGTCCGTATTGATTTGCTACATTCATTCCGCCGGCGGGATGTTGTTGATGCCCAGAACTTGCCACCGTGAAAGACCTCACGTTCCTTCTGTGCCGGACTCCAGGGTGTGAGAGAATTTAGGGGAAATGTAGGTGAGGCGAGGTCTTGCCATCGCACGTTAAAGGCAGGCCCTGTGCAGGGGCCAGGTAGGGAACAGGGACGCTGAAAACCTGCCCTCAGCTTTGGAGGCCAGCCTGCATCCTGTTGGGACACTCGGAGGCAATTTGGCGACACAGCAACCAGCCTTTGATAGGAGCACTCCTGCTCCTGTGAGGCTCCCCAGAGAACGTGGAGCCAGAAAACAAAGCAATGTAGAAAGTCTTGCAAACTAAAACAACAACAACAACAAAATCTGTTTTCTTTTCATGGGGTCCCTTCAGATTCTTTGATTTGGGAAGACTTGCTCATTTTCAGGCCCAGAGAGTAGGTGTGGATGCCTCCCGTGGTACCCAGCTACTAATGAGGACTTCTCAGTAGGCGCTGGATGGCCAACGCTCCCTGTGATGTGGTCCATAGTGCTATGCAGGGGAAAGCTGGGGATGTGGTTTGCTGGTGTCATCCACCTCGAGTGAGTCTTCAGAATAGCAGATTTAAGGAGAAAAGAATGCTGATAGAAGCTGGTACTCTATTTGTTGTTGCTTTTAATAGAACAGCAACAGCCTAATGACTTGTATGTGGAATGCAGTTTTATATTAACACATGCTGATAATTTCTATCAAAGAAGAATCGTTGCCAAAGGCAGAAGTAGAAAGAGAAGGGATCTCACTGCCAGTTAAGAGCTCAGTGTAAATGAGTCAGAGGAAAAGGGTGTTCCAGGGAACAGCAATGACAGAATGTTATTAAGGAAGAGTTGGTCAATATGTGACTTGTGATTTCCAGTTTGGAGTCTAGAATCCTGCCAACCAGAGGTTTTTGTTCTTTCAGTGTAAACTCATTGAGATCAGCGGAACTGATGGGTTTTTGTGTTTTGTGGACTCCGGTTTCTTGTTTTTCTTGTGATTCAGAAATACTTTGATTTGTATTGAAAACTTGGTTCCTACATTGATATGGTTAAAGACCATACACAGGTGGGTTTAGTGCTTATATTTTTAAGTGTGCAAATTCTGTTCACATTAAAGCATCTAGGTCAAAGGCCTAAATAAAACACCTCATACTGACTTTTATATAAACTATGTAAAGTCTACTTGGACTTCACACTTCAGTGATTTTAAGGTTGAATTGGACGTGACTAGACAAGCTCCATAATTCCTACCTCGTACTTTTCTACTGCCAAAATGTCAATTTATATTGATTCAGCATCATATATTTATATAAAACATATATCTGTGTCCTGACTGAAAAGTCTGTTGATATTAACAGCAACCAGTAAATTAGTCAGCTGTGCCTAGGCGGTTTCAAGATATTCCTTTTTCAGTATGATAAGCTCTGAGAATAAAGGTATGATCAAATTGTCACCCTGTAGATTTTCATCTTGCTGTCCTAGATGATATCATTAGGATAAAAAAGACAGATTGTGGGGGGAAAAGAAATTAAAAAATGGGCACAACTGACATTTCTCCTAATGAGCCCCTGATGAAGATTCAGCTAATGATGCTCACTTAGAGGTGAAGCTATTCTCAAATCATATATGCCACGTGGTATGGAGCACAAAGAAAGGGAGGCTGGGGAGAGGAGCTGTGTACTCAGTGACTAGGGAAAGGAAGTCTGGGCATGAGCCATGGTCTAATCCAGTAGTTGGCAAACCACTGCTCGCGAGCCACATGCAGCTCTTTGGCTGTTTGAGTGTGGCTCTTCCACAAAATACCACAACCTGGGCGAGACTATTTTGAAGAAGTGGCATTAGAAGAAATTTAAGTTTAAAAAATTTGGCTCTCAAAAGAAATTTCAATTGTTGTACTATTGATATTTCGCTCTGTTGACTTATGAGTTTATTGACTACTGGTCTAGCCACATAAATTATACTGAACTCAATGGGATTTCAGTTGTGGGTTAGATATTTCCACTAAAGTATGTTTGAATGAATGAACAAGTGTGTGTGTGTGTGTGTGTGTGTGTGTGTGTGTGTGATTTGAAGAAATAACAAAAGCTGTACACCTGAAAGAAACTGTGGTATGAGATAGAGGACTGGGTGAACAGAAGCACATGGCAAAAATGATGACTGGAATGTATCCATGCTGGAAGAGAATGTTGGGAAAGTTGCAGGCAAGGCTTTGTTGGTCTTAATTTGTTTTATCAAGTTTATTATGTATCTCAAAGTGAGAAGAGTCCTAAAAATAATCTGTTTAACTAGAAAGTAATTATTGTACATATGTGGAAGCTAATGGGCAGAGATTGACTCCTTTTCAAAACAAAGTGTGACTGTTGGACTGTTAATGCCAAGTACTGTGAGTAGTTACAAATGGTAAGGGAGGCATAATCTTTTCTCTGGAATTTATCATTTTTACAGCTTTTTCCCCCCTGTGGCAGTAAAACTTTTGTTTTGACACACACACACACACACACACACACACACACTCTTAAAAAGGACCCCATGGTAGGAAACAATTAAACATGTTATTTTATTAATAAAACTTTTGTGGTGGATTCAAATTTAGAAGGTTGTAGTCATTCAACAAATGCGTATTACTTGCTTGGCTATTTTGTGCCAGGCATTGTTCTAGGATCCTGGAGATACAGAAGAGAGCAAAATATATGAAGTTATCTGCCCTCCTGGGGCTTACACTCTAGTTGAGGGAGACAGGCAATTAATAAATAATTTGAGCAAGAGTGAAAGGGGAAAATACAGAACCTGGATACAAGGAGATAGGTACAGCTGGAAGTGGATTCATTGAGAAGACATTTGGTCAGGGATCTTTTGGACATGAAGTAGCACACAGTTAGATGCCTTAATGTGTAAAGATGCCTTAATGTGTAAAGGTGTTTGAGGAGCCTCATGTGGCTGTTGCAAGTGAGTGGAGAGTAGCAGGAAATGGGATCTGCCAGGTTTTGGGCTATGGCTGAGCACCATTATGTGGAATCTGACTCTTACTCGCACAGAAGAAGGCCATTGGGGAGTGTTGGGCAGAGACTGTCGTGACTTGGGTGTTGAAGCCAGGGCATAGGAGCACAGGGGTAAACAAGCAAGAAGGGAGATGGGGAGACACTGGAATTATTCCTGAGAGGAGGGAGTGTGGGGCCAGTGGTAGCAGTAGCAGTACAAGTGTTCACATTCCCACTCTGTTTGAAACAAAATTTGCTTAAAAAGCAGCCAGGGAGAAGAATGTGTCTGTTGTATGAACACAAAATGGACATGGGAGTGTGGAGGAGAGTTGCAGTGGTGTCAGTCACACTAATATGGTATCTTCATTGGGTTTTGATTGCACGGAAAATTCTGATTTACTCAGATGTAGTAACAATTTGTAAAGCACACTTTACACTATTAGCCTGGATACTCCACCCGACAGATTACATTTGACAAAGGAGCTAAGTGGGGGGAAAGTTTTTCCAAGTTGTATCATCATAAATATCAAGTATGGATCACATTCTAATAGATGTAAAAGACTAGACAAATATAATGCTTATACTAAGGACTAAAGCTAGCTGTAGGAAGTTTTCCATGCCTTCCTCACTTGCCCCTTTTCTTGTAAGAACAATAAGGAAGATACACTAGACTGTTATTTCCATGTTAACTAGTCACTGCTGGGCCTCAGGGGAATGTGAGGAGCAGGTAATGCCAGGACCTTGTGTGTGTGGAGCTGTGCAGCCCAGGTCAGTGTTCTCTGCATGGACACCGTGTGTTTCTCTGCGTTATTTTTTAAAGACTCATGCAGAACAATAATGTTCTTAAACAAACATACAATTTAGTTTTACCCATTTGCACAGTGATGGTAGAGAATCGGGTGGCCTTAAGTGATGACTTGCTGGTCTCTGGTGTAAAAATGTGGCATGTTAATTTTTTATTGTACTTTTATAAATAATAGAGTGGGTCTATTTTTCAAAATATATTAAGTCCAACTTTTTTCAAACCACTTGAAGCATATCAGTGGGCTTCTGGGCACTATTTGTAAACCACTAGTATAAAACACAGGTTAAAAGCACATTGAAGACAAATCACACACACACACACACACACACACACACACACACACACACACACATTATAAGTGCCTAAAGGGCCATTGTCATGGCCTTTGCTACGGAGTGGAATTCATAGTACAGGGAGTTTAGTGGGTATTAATTTTGAGGGTGTAGGTCTCTCCAGCCTAGTTCTGGGGCTCCCTGACACCAAGGTTCAAGCACA